CTCAAGGTGGTACTGAAGGTAACAACAATGTCAAGGTAGTAACCAAGGTAATCTCAGCACTCGAGGTAACACTCTCAAGGTAGTACTGAAGCTTATAACAATGTCAAGGTAGTAACAAAGGTAACAATCCTGACACTCCTGAGATGGTTGTACCGAGAACCGCTGTGTGGTTTTTTCAATGGTCTTTCGAGCACTGTTTCTGCTGATGCTGCTCGACGTTCCGTGTTGATGCCTAAAAAAGGACGAAAAGGCGGCATCCGACAAAGATTGCAAGCTTGTCGTGAAGACAAGAAGCGAGACGATGCTACTGCTGCAGATGCTCCTGATGAAGCTACTACTGGGAGCAGCCTGGCACGGAACCTACTGACACGTTTTGCTTGGGGCCTGCTGTCGCCCCAAACCGTACAGGACCTCGCCAAGTCGGCCTGCCGAGACCTGGTTAAAGCAGCTTCTCGAGCTGTTGCGGCCGTTGCCGCTTCTTCTTCTCGCAAGAGAAGAAGAAGAGGAGAAAAGGATGAGGAGGAGGACGACGGGTCGTCCTCCGCCACCGCCGACGACGGCGACAAGAAGGAACCTGCTGATGCAGGTCGCTTTTTTGTCCTGCCAGAGCTGGATGTCCTGGCCAAGCTTGGAGCATCTGGCCAGTACCCGAACAAGATGTACGGCCAACTCATGGCGAAAGCAGAAGCTGTGATCCGTCTGCCGGCTTGCTTTGAGCACAAGCTCAGCTTCGTGAAGCCTCGGAAGGCTGACTTTGGACAATTGCTTATGCTTCCACATGTTCTATTTAGTCACGTTTACCACAACGAGAAGCCCCTCTGGAACCGAACTTTTGTGGCCAGCTCCGAAAGGCTGGAAGACTTTTGGGCGGCCGTCAAAGCCGTCCCGCACCCAGCCTGGGTGAAGCATCCTCTGAAACTGCAAGAGGAAGCAGGCAAGCGGAGCACGAAGAGGTGTGTCCCCCTGTCCCTTCACGGGGACGAAGTCCCCGTGGCGGGACTGGGGAAGGTCTGGGGAAGGAAAATGGTAAACTGGTCGTTCAGTTCATTGGCTGGCCTGGGCTCTACGAAGAGCTCCCAGTTCTGGATCTGGGGGCTGTTCGAGAAAGTGGGTGTGCCCGGCAAAACATTGGAGGAGTTCTTCAAAGTTCTCCGGTGGAGCCTGTACTGGCTCTGGCTGGGAAAGTGGCCCGAGAGCGACGTCGATGGAATGGAGTGCCTTGTTGTTGGGTGGTGAGTATGTTTAAGATTGTCATATTATTATTACTTGTTCAGGGCCGGACTATAATGGGTATGTCCTACGACTTCTTCTTGTAATCAGGTGTAATAATATGCATAATACTAAGAAGAACGGCAATCATAGCAGCCATAGCAATAGTCACAATAAAAGAAGAATATGTACAAGGCAAACCTGTTGTTGTTGTTGTTGTTGTTGTTGTTGTTGTTGTTGTTGTTGTTTGTTGTTGTTGTTGTTGTTGTTGTTGTTGTTGTTGTTGTTGTTTTCGTTTTTTTGTACATGCGAAGAAGAAAACACAGAAATAATCGTTTTTCCCCTTCCTGGATAGGTTTCCTTTGGGCAGCCACGAAAGGCACATGGGCGGCCGTCCACTGGCCGACGGCTGGTTCGGTTGCCTTTTTGCTTTGATAGGCGACCTCGAGTACCTATCTGCTGTGCTGGGACTGCCGAGTCACAACAATTCCAAGAACTGCTGTGCTTTATGCAAGGCAAGCCTGAGCGGCATCAACAGCTGGAGTGATTTCCGCCCAGCTGCAGCCTGGAGAGCTCAGGTTTGGACTTACGAGAGCTGGCAGTCGTGGGCGAACCGCTCCAAAAATGTCCTTTTCACCTTGCCTGGAGTAAGCGCCTTGAGCGTCCATCTGGACTGGATGCATTCAAAGTACTTGGGCATCGACCAGTTTACGTTCGGCAGTTGCTTGGCTTTACTCACTTGCACTGGCATGGTGCCCGGCAGCGAACAGAGTGCCCTGGAGACATGCTGGAACTTCATCCAGGACTATTACAGAGAACACAAAACGAAAGTTCGTTTTGGTTATCTGAATAGACTCTCGATGTTCCTGCGACAATCGGGGTGCCCGAAACTCCGTGGAAAGGCGGCAGAGATCAAGTATTTTGTGTA